TTTATTCTTGGCACCCTCTACTCCACTGCAAATTATTCATTTCATTTCTGACCTGTCCTTTTTTATGTTGTTGATGTTCTCATAAAGATCCTTCAAGCTCTAAGTTTCTAGAAATTCTCAGTTAAGTTTTTTGAGCATCTTATAGCCATTATTTTGAACTCTATATCAGGTAGTTTTCTTGCTTCCATTTCATTTAGTTCTTTTTCTGAAGAATCTCCTTCTGTTCTTTCATTTGAGACAATTCTGTCTCTGTATTTTGGCTGCTTCCCAGTGTTTGTTTCTATATATTAGGTAGATCTGCTATGTCTCCCAGATTTGGTAGAGTAGCCTTGAGTAGCAGGTGTCCTGTAGGGCCCAGTGACTCAGCCTCTCCACTCACCTGAGCTGGACACTCAGTTGTGCCCCTGTGTGAGCTGTGTGCACTGTCCTACTGTAGCTATGCCTTGATTGATGTCGGCATCCCTGGGAGGGACTGACCCCCAGGCCAATTGATTGTGAGGATCGGCTGCGACTAGAGCTGAAGAGCTGCTATACAGGAGCCAGCCCATGGAGCAGGACTTGCTTTAGTGGGGCTTTGGTACTCACCGAGTCCACCCCTTTGAGTATGGTAGGGTTGTAAACTGGCATGGTCTGAAGCTGACCACCAGGTACACAGGCTCTGGGGCCTCCCGGGAGGTACAAAGTCTGCCTATGCCATGCTCGGGGCCAAAGCAATCTGCATATGGCTGCTACTTGTGTTGGACTTGAAGGTGTCCAGGAGAGGCCAACCTCTGAATCAAGGAAAGCTGCTGCTAGTGCTCAGCCTGGGGCCACTTACTGAGAGATATGGGGCACACTCAAGCCAGCTGCTACTTGCTTGAGAAATTTTAAGAAGTCCAAAGCCTGAGGCAAGAGAAGCCAGTTGTATGAAAAAGCCACTGGAAATAGCTTAGAGGAGACTGCAAGTAGGGAGGTGTGGGGTTTCAGGGAATCACCAGAGTGGGGTGAAAAGTGTGAGCCAGGTTGATGGAGACTTAACGATGGTGCCCTGCCTGCTGGCTCGGGGCATGGGGGTGAGGGTGGGCCTCGGCAAAGAAACAAGCCTCTGCCAGCACTTCTGTCCGGGGGGGAAAACTGCCCCTCCAGATCTTGTTTTAATTCTAGGCGGCTTAGTTTCTCCTTCAATGTCCCAGGTTCCTTTCAAGCTGCTGCTCCAGTGCTGGAGCTGAAGGAGTGACTCCTGAGGAAGAGCCCTTTAAGAGAAACTGCCTGGGGCCAGCAGTCTCCATGCCACTCAGCCACAATTCTTGCTGATTTTACAACTAGGAATTGTGGGGACTTCTCTTCCTGGTACTGGAACCCTTGGCTGGGGGCCTGGAGTGGGGTTGGGCCCCTCACTCCTCAGGGAAACCTCCACAGCCAAGATATCCATCCTGATTTTATTTAATTCTAAAAATTTTATTGATTTCAGAGAGGAAGGAAGAGGGAGATAGAAATGATGAGAGAGAATCAAAGATTGGCTGTCTCTTGCACGCCCCCTTCCCCGCCACTGGGGATCAAGCCTGCAACCCAGGCATGTGCCCTTGACCGGAATCAAACCTGTGACCCTTCAGTCCGCAGGCCGACACTCTATCCACTGAGCCAAATCAGCTAGGACTGGTGACATATTTTATAGCTTTCCCCACAACTGTAGGACTCTCCCAATTCTCCACCAAAGCTGGACAGACGGTGCCGGGCCGGGTAGGCCTCTGACGAAAACCTCTCTTCTCTGCCCTGTGCACAGGACAGCCTTTGACCCAACTGACTTTGCAACACCCTTGCTAGCTGTTAGGATGAGAGGTACCTACTGACTCCCCTCAGACACTGCCACCACCTCAATCTCATCAGAAAAACCACTCAGCACTGGGAACACTTAGCTCATGCTAGGGGGCATGAGGGTTCTAAAATACTAATTTTGTTGAATCCTCAGATTTTATCACTGGTGGTAAGTACTGTTAGTGTTTTCCTTTTTTTAAATGTATTTCTTTTATTGATTTCAAGAGGAAGGGAGAGGGAGAGAGACATAGAAACATCAATAATGAGAGAGAACCACTGATTGTCTGCCTCCTGCACGGCCCCTACTGGAGACTGAGCCCACAACCTGGGCATGTGCCCTGACTGGGAATCGAACCCTGACCTCCTGGTTCATAGTTCAATGCTCAACCATTGAGCCACGCCAGCCGGGCTGTTAGTCTTTTTCTTAAAACGTAAGTCATAAACTTGCTTTGTTTTCAGGAAAATGAATACCCCCCAGCTGAGTGACCAGTGAGTACTTCATTCATCAAGTACCCTGCATACCAACCAGTGTCCCAAGGATATGCACTTAGGGTGTTAGTTGCCATAAGCGTGTGGCAGTGATGACATACAGCAGTCTGGTGGAACCATCCAGACTCCTGCTCAAATCCCTGCTGGTTCCCAGTGCTGCTTTTGAACCGTTAGTGCAACTGTCAGCACAGCAAAGGGCATATGCCAACTTCACTCGGAAAGGAGTCTTGCCTTCCCATCTTGTGGACCCCAGGACATGGGCTCTGAGAACTGGCCATCCACACTGCAGAGTGGACATGCTGTACTGCTGACCATGGTACCTCTTGGAGGCACCCCTCACACACAAATGGTTGCTAATAAAGCCTCTCAGGAAGGAAGCGATCGCATGTTCCCACTGACCCCCTGCCGAGTATTACCTGCAGTGACACCGTTTTGCAGAGAGCCCTCATAGAAGATGTTGGATGGGAAGGCACTGAGTGCAGGGTGCATCCGATACTGGACTTGCAGGCGGATTGGACGAATGCCAAGCACCACCAGTCGCTCGAACAGTGACTGGGACAGCCCGGCCTTGGCTGCCTTCTTGCACATCACCACGGGGCCCAGCTGGCAGTGGTCACCCACAAGGATCAGCTGTGATGAGAGGCCCACACAGGTGAGAGGTTCAAGCATGAAGCAGCTGGGACATCCATTCTCAGAAGACTAAGGGGCCCAGGGTCCACATAACCACCCAGTCATGCAAATTCCAGTGGTAAGACACTGACTGGGCATGGGAAACTGCCCACCACAGACATGAAACACACTCAGACATTCCTTCAGGACACACACAGAGATGCTCTCAAAGACTCCTTAAAGGGCTCACCATGCATCCCTAAGCTCTGCCAGGGTGTCACAGGATGTTTAAAAACAAAAAAAACAAAAGAACCCAGCCTCACAGGACATTAAAAAACACACACAGCCTCCGGCATTAAGAATGATACAGAAATGAACAGGAGAGAAGGCACACCAGTTTTCAAACAAGAACACCATGAAAGGGGTTGGCTCACCTGCTTGGCTCCAAGGACCACAGGGACCATACACTCCGGCTCCGTGGCCTGGGTGCTCTCGTCGATAAGAATGGAGCGGAACTGCATCTTGGCCAGCCTGGGGTCTCCTGCACCCACACATGTGCAGCAGATGACGTCCGCGTTCTGGGGAAGAGAGGGTGTGAGCATCAGGAGCAACTGCAACAGTACAGTTTTCCAGGCGCCAAAGGGCAGGTGGGCAGGACAGAACAGGGTACCACTCTGGTCCTTGCCCTCCTGACAACCACAAAAACAAGCTGTCTCTCCCTGACGGCACTCACATAAACTTTTGAGATCCTAAATCAGTGATGGCGAACCCATGACACACGTGTCAGAGGTGACACGCAAACTCATTTTTCTGGTTGATTTTTCTTTGTTAAATGGCATTTAAATATATAAAATAAATATCAAAAATGTAAGTCTTTGTTTTACTTTGGTTGCAAATATCAAAATATTTCTATATGTGACACGGCACCAGAGTTAAGTTAGGGTTTTTCAAAATGCTGACACACCAAGCTCAAAAGGTTCGCCATCACTGTCCTAAGTGGTGGGGCCTTACCAGAGAAAACCTCTCAGCACAGACGGTTCGGTGCTTGAGACAGCCTCTAGGGAGCAGTGCTGAGCCGGGGAACAGGTGCTGGGCTGGGATCCACTTTCAGTTGATTTGTCATGAAATAACAGACCCACCCCGAGGGTACAGACCAAGATCCCAAGTTCCCAGCAGCAGGGAGGCTGGCAGGCAGTAGAAACTACTAAAAAATCATGTCTGTGTGGTCTCAGGGTACCTATGCTTTCTTCCAAAAGTAGGCACAACCTAACTAAAGGTGCCATCGTATGCCCTAAGGCCCAGGCCCTCACCATGAGCAGCTCCCTTTCAGCTGTGCGCTTCAGGGCTCGGTACCGCTTCTCATCGGCAGATGACAGCTCCCCAGTCTCGTCCTTTAGCTGCTGCAGCTTCTGCAGCTCTGGCATGCTGGAAGCACAGGCACAGCAGTGGGCATGGAGGACTTGCACCAGGGCCACACAGAGGAGAACCCCCCACACCTGCAGCCAGGTACCTGACACTCACCTATCCATGTTCCTGATCTGGTTGTGCAGGGCCAGGAATGACACTGGGGAGTCAATGGCCTCGCGGCTCTTAGCGCAGAGCCGCACAACTTTCAGCCCAGTCTGGTGGATCTTCTCAGTCAGCTGATCCACAGCTATGTTACTTGGAGCACAGACGAGCACAGGCCTTAAACATAAAGCGAATGAATATCTCAGTGCTTGCCCAGAGGAGATTAATGAAATGCAAAACAACCTAAGACTGTTGTTTTGAATCACAAGCAGTGCAGACAAATCCAAGACTAAAAGCCAGGAGCCCCAGCTGGTTTGGCTCAGTGGATAGAGCATCAGTCTGCTGACTGAAGGGTCCCAGCTTCAATTCTGATCAAGGGCACATGCCCGGTTGCGGGCTTGATCCCCAGTAGGGGGCATGCAGGAGGCAGCCGATCAATGATTCTCTCTCATCATTGATGTTTCTATCTCTCTCCCCATCTCCATTCCTGAGATTATTAAAAAAAAAAAAGACTAAAGCCAGGATGGCACAATGCAGGAGCTAAAAGCCCAGCCAGGCCAGGACTCCCTGTCCCCAACCAGTTTTTACGCTACTCATGCAAAGTATCACTAACAACAGACCTGCCTCCTCACCCCTCCCCATCTCATGGTGAAGACTGTCCGAGCTGAGGCACACACAGCACAGCACCACCTGGGTGAACGGACCAGAGCTGCCCTTAAGAGCAGCAGGCTTGCCCTGGCCAACGTAGCTCAGTTGGCTGGGTGTTGTTCTGTGTACTAGAAGGTTGCTGGTTCGATTCCTGATCAGGACACATGCCCAGGTTCAAGGCTCAGTCCCCATTGGGGGACATGTAGGAGACAGCTGATCAATGATTCTCTCTCATCATTGATGTTTCTATCTCTTTCTTCCTTCCTCTCTCTAAATCAGCATATATATACATACACACACGTATATATGTCTTTCTTTTTAAATATATATTTTTCATGTTGTTGTTGTTTTTTAATTTCAGAGAGAGCCAAACAACTGGTGTAGCTTAGTGGCTGAACACCCACCCATGAACTGGCCATCTCTCTAAAAAATCTTTAAAAAAAAAGAAGAGCAACAGACTGCAGGCTGTCTTGTTAAAAGCAACCAGAGGCCTGATCTAATACAAACAATGTGAAACACAGTGAGCAGATAACCCTCCCAAGACATTCCTGCAGTCAGGTCTGCTGATCCCTACCCATTGCCCTGCCGTGCCAGGTGGTAGACAATGGTGGCGGAGGTCACTGTCTTCCCTGTTCCTGGTGGTCCCTGGATCAGGCTCAGCGGCCTTTGCAGCACAGTCTTCACAGCATAAACCTTCAGATACAAGTGGCCATTAGGGGGTACAGATGCCCTCGGCCCACCCCCGCCCCCAGCAGCTCTTCAGGTCAGGCCCCAGCCATCTCCAGGATGATAAGAACCTGAGAGTGGTTGAGGTCGGGCAGCCCCTGTGCAGTGAAGCGCTTGGGCAGCTGGCACTTGATGATGACGTCCTCCACCTCGTGGCCAAGCAGTTTATGGTAGATATAGCCTGATACAGAGGTTTCATCGACAGCAAAAGTTTTCAGTGCACTCTGCATCCTGTGGCAAAGTAACAGGTTGGCTACGTGCTCATGTAGGCTGGTGGTAAGCCCACCCCCAGGAATGGAGAATCATTTAGAGCTGGAGGCAGACGCACCTGTCAAATGAGGTGGATTTCCACACGAAATCCACCTGAAAGTTGTGTGTCACCTCCACAGGTGCACCCACACTGCTCCGCAGCTCAATGGCAATCTCATCGCCATAATCTGCAAAGCTGAGTTAAGGTTCATCTTTGTCATAAGCTGGGTTTACTTTTCTGAGGAGCTCTTATTTGGTTACTGAGGAGACACTTCTCTCCCATTGGGCCAAAAGTTAACAACACAGCCAGTGAGCCCCATGTTCTGACAGGTTCTGTCCAGTGCCCCGGTCCCCTGCAACTACCCCCACCCAAACTGCCCCGTGGACCTTTGGTGTCATCCAGGATGCCAGGATGGACTGGCCACATGTAGAATCCAGGTTCTGACTGTGAGCTTCAGAGATGAGGTGAACATCTCAAAGCATCTTGGCTCCAGGTAAAGCATTGCTTCTACTAGTTATAAATGTGTGCTCTCAGAGTCCAAATGAAGGGTTCAGTGGCTTGAAACAAACTTGACTCTAAGGGGTCTCTCCAGCCATGGCCATACTCTCCACCCAAGGCCCCAGGACTGGTCTCCACAGTGACCAACACACAGATCCCCCGTGCTAGCTCTTCTTCACACAAAGGATACTATCAGGGACCTTGATGACGTGGCCGATCCCTTTCCACAGGGGCGCCAGGTCCCCTTTGTACCGCAGGCATATCTCATCCCCTTGCATGAGCCGCATGTCTTCCAGGAAAAAGAGAGCAAAAAGCGTTTTCAACATGTGCCTAGGCTACCATGGGAGAGTTCAAATTAAGGGATACTTTACAAGGGCAAACTAGGAATTATGCTATTTATGGTCACAAATATTTTAAAACTTAAAATCACCTCTTAACCAAATTATGACTAAATCCTCATTACCAGAGTCAGTCTTGGGTAAAGTGAAGTAGGCGATTCTCTTCTTGTTAAGGCCCAGGTCCCACCTGACCGTGATGTTATCTTGAGTCTGAGCACATGAAAAATAAGAGCCCTGTTAGCCTGTGACACAGACATGGCCTGGACTCCTGTGTCTGGGTATCCATAGGCATGTGCCCTACGGCAACTCCATGAGCCATGATGCTGGGGTGCATCAAGCAGCATCCAACAGCCTGAAACACCAACAAGGGTACCCCTGGGAGAGAAGTCATTAGGACCTAAGAACCCGCAGAAGAAAACCAGGATCCCCCGTTCGACGTCTGCTCTCAAGGTCCTCAGAAGAAGAGAAGGAAGCCAGCAGCTGAGGACACGGCCCAGGAGCCCCGCGGCTCTTACTTCCTAGACACGCTCTTCGTGGGACTAGCGCAGAGTGCCCTCTGCAGACCGCAGCTCCTTGGATCTGACGCTCGTGGCAATGGGCAAAGACTGTGAACCCGACTGTGAGGGACTTTTGTTGGGTTTAAAATCAGGCTAGTGTCTAGCTCCTAGTGACAGAGCCTCTGCCCTCGATCCATGGCTCCGTCTCTCTAGGCACTGGGCCGAGGCCCATGATAATGTTGGCAGCCTGCAAGCAAAACCATCCTAACAGTCTCAGGAGAGATGTGTTACAACAACCACACCCTCCTGCACACACCACATCACCTGTGACTCTTTCAGTTTCTTGTCATAGTCAGCCTCCAGCTTGACCAGAGGCCCAAATATGTTCTGGTACTGGTAGGCATCCTCATACCGCAGGAGGACATGCTGCGGCTCCTCATCCACTCCGGGCTTCTCCAGGTCCTCCAAGGTGGCAGAAGGGTTCTCCTAGAAGACAAGACCCATACCGAGTTTGTCCCCAGTTTCACCCATGTATGAAATTAACTACATGGAAGCTCACCAGTCACCAGAGAGATGGGGAAACACCCATCACTTCTCAGGACAAGCCAATGCTGGGCTGATGCTGAGAAGGGTGCCAGCAGTCAGTGGTGTCAACCCTGTGGGAAAGCCCTCCTATCAGGAAGTTCACATGGCATAGGGAGTTGGATGCCTGCACAGGCCATGGTCACACCTCAGCTGCTGTTCCTAACAGTCCCTAACAAGGTTACACCAATAGGGGTAAGTCTTGGTGATGATGCTCGAGGAGCACAGCTGACATACCTACACCATCAAATGGCTGCGTCCTCCACAACCATCTGGCCCTGAACTGGGAGGGACAGCACTTCTCCCAGGCTGCCAGAAAGACCTCCAGCTCCTCTGGCTGTGTGAGCAGAGGAGGAGCCTTCCCTCCCCATTTCCTCCTGACCCTACATGGCACCAATAGGGCTACACATTCTTCCCTGGCAGGGACAGAACAGTATCTGGGCTGCTGAAATATAAATAGGAACAGTGAAAAAATTGTGGTAATTTGAAAATGGAAGTGAAAAGACACCTTGCTAGACGAGGTCTGAAAAACAATCTTTTAAAAATATGTTTAATTGATTTTAGAGAGAGAGGAAGCGAGAGGGAGAGGAAGGGGGGGTGGAGAGAGAGAGAGAGACATCAGTGAGAGAGAAACATCAATCAGCTGCCACCTGCACGTCCCCTACTGGGGATTGAGCCCAAAACCAGGCATGTGCCCTAACTAGGAATCGAATCAGTGACCTCTTGGTGCATGAGACGATGCTCAACCAACTGAGCCACACTGGCCAGGGCCTGAAAAATATTTTAACTTGCACTCAAAGTAAAGACAAATTTACATTTAAGATTTCTGGTTATACGGGTGCCTAATTAAAATTTCTATACTTGTTATTAAAACTTTATAGCAAAATCTAAACATAAAATCAGAGAAGGGCTTCCCTAGAGAAGTGGCTATGCAGGCAGAGCAGGTGCCCTGCCACAAAACCAAAGGAAGGCCTCTCTCTCCTTCAACTACTGGGTTGAGGGTCTCTGACCCCTTTCCCACTGCACACTCACCACAGTTTGGTACTTCCCTGGCTCAGATACATCTAAGTCCCAGCAAAGTTTTGAAACACACTCACAGGGGAGGGAACCAAGATGGCAACATAGGTAAACACCTATATTTGCTGCCTCCCACAACCACATCAAAATTACAACTAAAATACAGACATCATTCAGAACTGCCTGAAAGTTGGCTGAACAGAAGTTCTACAACTAGAGAAGTAAAGAAGAAAGCACAGAGACTGGTAGGAGGGGCGGAGGCCGGGAACAGGCTGTTCTAACACTCATGTGTGCCTTTTTTTTTAATTGGGAGGGAGAGCATCTCTGCGGAGGCCACCTGTGAGGAACAAGGGGTCCCAAACCCACACCAGATCCCCAGCCCAGAGTTCTAGAGCAGGGAAGAGAAGTCCCTGTAACTACGGGCTGTAAACATCAGCAGGGATTGTGGCTGAATGACAAGAGGCTGCTGGAGATCCAGGTGTTCCATTTAAAGGGCCAGAGCACGAACTTACTCCGATTCCCAGTACCAGGTGGCTTTGGGGGACCCAGACATATATGGGGAGGAACAGGATTGTCTGGCATCAGGGCAGAACTCAGAGGTGGCTTTCTCCCAGACAGGGGTATCACAAGGGTCATTGTTCCTGTGCTGGAGCCTCCTACATCGCAGAGCTGGCTGGCAGCCATATTTGAGTTTCCATCCACCTGGAGCATACTGTTTGCTCCACTCTGGGGATTCCTTGAAACCCAGCCCCATCCAATTTGCAGCCCCACCCAAGCTGTTTGCAGCAACTTTTCCATATGAATGGCCTGTCCTGGTTCAGACTTCAGACTTTGCTAAAATCTCCCAAACAAGCTGCAGCTGGTGGCAGTGTGCCCCAAACCTATGAACAAAAGGCCCAAGACCGGGCATTCGCATCAGTCTATGTTGCTTCACAGCTGGGCCGTCCCTGGGCACCTCCAAGCCCAGTCAAACAGCCCCCCTGCAGATCTCTCTGTAGCTCCTGCAGGTGGCCCCAGGCAGTGGCTGACTGCACCTCTCTGGAGGCCCTGGAGCCAGTGCACCCAGTGGACAGCTTTAGACCATTACAGATTATAACTCTACACATCCGCAAGAGGCAGACTCAGTGAGCAGCAAAGCCCCACTGAAGCAAGACCTGCACCATAGGGGTGTTTCCTGCACAGTAGCTTTCCCACTGTAGTCGCAGCTGGTCCTCACAGCCAATTGGCCTGGAGGTCAACTCCTCCTAGTGATACCAATAGCAATCAAGGCTCAATTACAAGACTGTGCACACAGCCCACACAGGGGCACACCTAGAGTGCCCAGCTCAGGTGACAGGGGAGGCTGAGCCACTGGGCCCTACAGGACATCTACTACATAAGGCTATTTTTATTCTACCAATTCCAGGAGACATAGCAGCTCTACCTAATACACAGAAACAAACACAGGGAAGCAGTCAAAATGTGGTGACAAAGAAATATGTCACAAATCAAAGAAATAGGAGCAAACTACTGGATACAGAGTTCAAAATCATGATTATAAGGTTACTCAGGATCTTCATGAGACTTTCAAGGATCTTAGTGTGAATGTCAAAGACATGAAAAAGGACCAGTCAGAAATTAAGCATACACTAACTGAAATAAAGAATACTTTACAGGGATTCAACAATTGAGTAGAAGATTCCAAGAATCAAATCAACAATTTGGAATATGAGGAAGTAAAAAACACCCAGTTTGGCTCAGTGGATAGAGCATAAGCCAGCAGACTGAAAGGTCCCTGTTTGATTCTGGTCAAGGGCACATGCTCAGGTTGCTGGCTCAATCCCCAGTAGGGGGCAAGCAGGAGGCAGCCTATCAATGATTCTCTCTCATCATTGATGTTTCTATCTCTCTCTCCCTCTCCCTTCCTCTCTGAAATCAATAAAAATATATTTAAAAACCAACAAACAAACACTCAAGCTGAAGAGCAAAAGAAAAAAAATATGAAGATAGTGTAAGGAGCCTTTGGGACAACTTCAAGCATACATTCACATTATGGGGGTGCCAGAAGGAGAGGAGAGAGAGCAAGATATTGAAAACCTATTTGAAAAATGACAAAAAACTTCCCTTACCTGGTGAAAGAAATAGACTTACAAGTCCAGGAAGTACAGAGTCCCAAACAAGAGGAACCCAAAGAGGCCCATACTAAGACATCATAATTAAAATGCCAAGGGTTAAAGACAAAGAGATAATCTTAAAAGCAGAAAGAGAAAAACAGTTAGTTATCTATAAGGGATTACCCATATGACTGTCAGCTTATTTCTCAACAGACTTTGCAGGCCAAAAGGGAGTGGCAAGAAATATTCAAAGTGATGAATAGTAAGGTTCTACAACCAAGATTACTCTACCCAGCAAAGCTCTCATTTAGAATTAAAGATCAGATAAAGAGCTTCACAAACAAGAAAAAAGCTAAAGGAGTTCATCACCACCAAACCAGTATTACATGAAATGTTGAAGGGTATTCTTCAAGAAGAGGAAGAGACAAAAAATATGAACAATAAAATGGCAACAAATACGTATCTATCAATAATTGAATTTAAAAATCAAAATAAACAAACAAGAAATCTATGAACAAAATAAACTGGTGAATAAAATAGAATCAGAGTTATGGAAGCATGGGGAAGGGGGAGCAGGAAGAGATTAACCAAAGATCTTACCTATGAACACAGACAGTAGGGTGGTGAAGGCCTAGGGAGGAATGGAACTAGGTGGAGGGGAGCAATGGGGGACACCTGTAATACTCTCAACAAAAAGATTTTAAAAACAAACAAACAAAGATGGAAACACACAAACAAAAAATAAAATGCACTCACAGTCCTATCTACTAAGGCCCAGGCTCCTCTGGACATGCCCACCCATAGCTGCCCAGGGCCAGTTCCTGTCAGGACTCCTCCTGGTAGAAGCTCCAGAATCCTTCCAGAATGTCCTGTTTACGAAGACAGCACCCCTTTCCCTGGCCCAAGTCTACAGGAAACTAGTGCTGAGGAAGACTGCATTCTCAATAGGCCTCACCTTCCAAAGCTCCTCCAACTTGTTGATCTGCTGGGCTGTAATCTGCCGGGCCCGAAGCTGCTCCTGCTCTGAAGGGATCTTAACCAGCCAGGAGAGGAAGCAGCGATCTTGGATCAGGGGCTGCCACTGCGAGCTGTCCCAGTTGATGTCCTTGAGGCTGCTCTGACTGGCACAGGGCTGCCTACAGAAGCCCCGAGGAGAGAAGAACCCAGATGAAGATGACCTTCACCCCAAGACTTACCTTTCACCCCAAGGTGGCAGTCCCTATCTTTCATTATGTGATCACATTACCTTTAAATTATTAGTAGTAAATTGCATCTCCCCACACACTTGAGCTCTGAACTCTTAAAACTCAAAACAGACTTTGGTTTTACAGAATCATTTTTACGATTTAACCAGAACACACCCGCAGAGTTACTTGACAGTCCTAGCTCTCCAACAAGCCCCCACCCCCGAACATCCGAAGATCTAGCCAGTCAACAGAAACCATTTTAAAGTTCCACTGAGTCAGAGCTGGCCCCCGGGGAAATCGGGGAGCCCTCACCTGCACAACAGCACCACCACTGAGTCAGCCTTGGCAGGGATGAAGCCAAGCAGGAAGACGTTGCGGCAGCCACAGTTGTAACACTCCAGGACTGTCTCACCAAGGGGCCCATCCTTGTGCAGAGTCACCTCTTTGCATTTTGCCCTCACAAGGTGATTTACAATGTGGCTTAAATCAGGAAATGATAAATAGTTAACACTCAAAAGTTTGGCTTTTCACCACTTCCAATTCTTGAATCCCTGTTAAAAGTTCCGGTACCATTCACGGTCCATTAGCAGGGTTGGTCACACCTCATCCATCTGGTGTCCCAGGAGATTAGCGGCCCCTGAACTGGCTCCCCATTGAGCACAAATCCGCCTTGAACCACTTTTAAGGAGAACTTTCCTAACACATTTCACAGTTTCTGCCTCTCACCTCCCACCCCCTCCAGTTCCTGCTTTCTTAAATCCAACTATTGGGCCTCACTGAATCTACAGCCGCTGCCCCTTTCCCAACTCCTCTTGCTCCTTGTAGCTTCTCTGATGCTTCTTTCAAAGTCACTTCTCTGGCACAGGGCTGCCTATAGAAGCCCCGAGGAAGTGACCTCTGTGCTGGCTGCCAGGAACAACCGACTCCTAATATGCTGCAGGCCAGGAAACTTGATAAGCAAGCGTATTAAAACAATAAAAAGTATCAAGTAGGGGGCTCAAGGCTACTCTCAGGAAGCACAAGGGCCAGCAATGAAACCCTCTGGAATCCTGCTGTCTCGGTGTGGCCAGTTCTCACTGTTCTCATTTCCAGGCTACAGCTCACCTAATTCATGGACTGTGCCAAGCCAGCCTCACTGGGGCTCACGGATGGTACAGGCCCTGCCTCAGGCTCTCTGTAGATTTGTGGAACATTACTCGGGCAGCCCTCTCTTCACATCAGTAAGCTCTTCCTGTCACAAGGTTAGGCTAGAACCCTCTGTGGCCCCACAAAGTCTATTATATCAGATAATCTAACCAACCATCACCATTCTCAGCACCCCCCTAATCCCCCACTCCTCTCTGGAGCCACCACCACTGGGCATGTTACCAGAACCAGTGGTTTCCTCTTATACCATCTGTATCCACTTCACCCCCGCTACAGTGGCAACAGGCACCCCGTCAGCTTTCACTCAAGCCTTGTAAAGAGCATGTGATGCTGGTTGACTGAGCCCGTTTTCTCATGGAGGCCCTTCCCTCACTTCCCTGATCTTAACAGCTGACCAGAAGCTAGGGCTGCCAACTAAGACAAGTTTTATTTAATTGCTTTCCCTGCAGGAGAGAAACTAATGCAAACATGGTAACACAAATTGTCCAGAACATCCTGAAAATAGGACTAGAATCTCTTGTGGTCACCCTGGAGATGCTTTTCCTTTTAAGTGTTTTAAAAACATTAGCCCTCTTTCTTGCCTTGCTCAGAACCCCACAATCTGCATACTAACTGTGAGATGACCCAAGATCCAATCACTCTGTGTCCTTAGGCAGCATGATGGTAAGGCCTGGCCCACGGCTCCTGAAGGCACAGGAAGGGTGGATGGGGCTCTGTGCACATAAACCTGCCTGTAGATTTTTGCCTCTACTTCTCCAAAACATGAACCTCAGAAGATGCTGTTTCCTTGCTGGAGACCTGGAGCCCTGGCCCACTGAGACCCTGCTCTGCTCCTTGTGGCCATGTAATGAACCCGAGGCAGGGGCCAAGGAGTCCAACACTTGAGCTAGATAGACCGACTCTCCCTACAACCTAAGCACCACCACCACACTGCTCTCACCCCAATACCAAACACAAGCAAGGGCTCAGTCACAAGTGCTGGTGATCAGGAGGGAGTCCAGAGCCACCGCTGGTCAGATGAACTTAATTTAATCTGATGATTCAGGATCTGGCCCGTGTTAGCCTCTAAACTACTCGATGAGTTCAGGCCTGAGGGAGCCTTCTCAGGAAGTGGCTCTCACGGATGCCCGTTCCTGTCTTGGGAACATCCTCCCCGGGCACCCCTTAATGAAAATATAAATAAAAACTAGGAATGAGAATTAAGCCAACCATACTGGCATAATAAAAAGAATGAGAGAATAAATCAAGGGTAAATACATTAAGGCATTCACACAGCACCATCTGTTTCAAGTTAAACCCGTCACAGAGAAGGAAAAAAACCCAGGTTTGTTAGCATGATTTTATATTGTGCTTCGCTTTAGCATTTCCATAATTTACACACAAATCTGAGCACAGTCTGATTAAAGACACATGGCAGTCTGATACCTACCTGCCAGAAGTATTTCCACGTCCGTTACAGAACCACTTCTTGCTGGTATTACAGTAAACCACGCAAGCAGGATCATGTATTCCACAGTAACTAAAAAGTAAAAATGAACAGTTAAAGCTGGAAGATCGCTCTCTGGTTTTAATTTGGCAGAATGTAAAATTTTTTCCTCTTACAACGTTTTAAAGTTTTTCATTAAAAACATACTCAAGCCCAACGTTCCTACTAACAAAATCCAATCAGTTAACTGTTGAGGTTTCCTGGTCCTGTGAATGCAGAAAGGAGCTGGGGTACTGTCGAGACACTGAGAGATAACGCAGACTGCAGCAAAGCCCCTTCCAAGTGGGGAGCAAGTGCTCTGCGGGGTGCCAAGTGAGCCCAACACCCCGAAGGCAACCTGGTCACTCCTATGGCCTTCAGTTTCAGGAATGTAACTTATGAAAGGGGTGTCCGTAGGTAGCTCTGGGCACTTGGAAAGTGAGCTGTGACCATGCTTTGTTCACACTCCAGCAGAGGGCACCATGCTCCCAGGAACGCTCAACTCGGACCCGGCAGCAGAGGCTCCTGGGTGACACAGAGCTCAGCTCCAAAAGAGCACATCAGGAGAGTCCACCACCACAATAACCCCCACCTTATTTTTCTAAAAGTCAACATACCCAAAACAAAACCACTGGCTCTCCACAGAGTCTATATGTGTATGAAGCCAAGACTCGGTCTCAAACCAGAATGTGCTTCAACCAAGAACCTTCCCACCAAAACCTCCACACATGGACAGCCGGGAGGACCAAGGAGTTATATAGACTGTAACCACTTGCAGCTTCATCAGGACTGGCAACTGTGTATATAGCAGGAACACTAATACCTCACTCATATATATGGAAAAACATTTGTAAATGAGCCCTGGCTGGTGTTTCTCAGTGGTTAGAGCATCGGCCCATGCACCAAAGGATCACAGGTTTGATTCCCAGTCAAGGGCATGTATCTGGGTTGTAGGTTCAATCCCAGACCCTGGTCAGGGTGGGAGGCAACTAAGTGATGTCTTCCTCTCACGTTGACGTTTCCCTCCCCCTCCCCACTCCTACTCTTTAAAAAAATCAATGGGAAAAAATATCCTCCAATGAGGACTAACAAACATCAAAAACAAACATTTGTAATGAGAGTGAACAAAGAGCTAAAATAAGGTAAACTGGGGGAAGTGGGGGCAGGATACAGCGCTCTGTCCCTTGGTGGGTAGACGCTGGGGGCAGTGTGCCCAAAGGGCAGGCAGGACTGAATAGAAGTCCAGGCTCAAAGCTGCCCCAACTGGCCGAGTGCCCTAAGCAAGATCATTTTACCTCTTTTGGTCTCAATTTCCTCTTGTGCATGTAACAAAAAAGCAAGAATAAGTCTAAATATTAGGGATGGGTCCTGCTCTCGATGAGAATTCCAAATTTGGTCAATATGCAGGTCTACACACTGACTATCCACTTCCAACTTTTCAGGAAGCAGACATTTAAAAAAATCTGACAGTAATCTCTCTGTAAGAGAAATCTTAGTGGCTCTATTTACCCTATAAACCCAAATGCTCACCCAATGAGAAGAGTTCTTCCTGATGAGTGAAGTGAGGCAGGTACCAGGAACACCCCCAGGACCTGAGGAAGGCCAAGAGGGGAACCTTTCCC